AAAACGTGACTGCAAGCTTAATGCACTTTCTGCACTTCACATTCACTTCTATCGGCGATTTTGTTGAAAGACGCATTTTTGTTGCAGAAACAGACGAGTATGAAGAACTATTCATTTTTTTCATTTGAATTTTATGTTTATACAATAAAGATAGGCGAAGTTGTTTTAACTAAAATGCTCTTCATCGATTCAAATACGAATAAAACCTTCTTCAACTAGCCCATACTTGTCTTTGGCAACAAATGACTTTTGATCCTTTTTCGAAGTTTTGTTCAGTATTAAAGCAACGTAACTATGAAGGATTCGGCTTAAGTATTTTATTGTTAATTTAGTATATTCTCTGATATACGTAACAAATTCTTTATATGTTATTTATATTTATATATGTTATTTATATTTATATCGTTCGCTGAAAAGTGTGATGGATCATCAATTTGTTTTCTTATAATACTATGAAAATCGAGTAAATTTTTGTTGTAAGACACAGTAAAAGATATGTAAATGCTGCACAAAATAAGACACATTCTTTAATCACACTTTTCAGACATTTTTAATTGCATTAAAATTATAAAACTGCATTATTGATTAATGCTCAATGATAAATACCTCAACATGAGGAATTCCCAATTTAAGCAGGATCTGTTAAAATTTATTTATAGCATAAATAATACAAAGTTTGTTATTTAGCATATTCCCATTTGGAACTTAATATAAGTTTCTATTGAAAGCCTAAAGGCTTCTAACAAGATAAGAAGCCTAGCCTATGATTCGTAAAACTTTTTGCTTATGTATTCATCACTCATTTCTCTTAGCATAGTCTCTTTCAAATCATTAAATCACCATCAATTTCATTAAATTTAACAATTTTTGGTGAAATTGCAGACTGAAAACTAATTAGAAATTAATGCTCTTACGCTATTTTCACTGTATTTCACAGAAAGTGGTTGTGTTATGAATTTTGTAGCATAATGCCTACAAAGTTTGGCAAGTTTTTGGCAACAATTGAAAAATTCATAAAGCCCGAGAAACTGTGCTCAACACTTTATGGCAACATTTTCTCATGTGTGTGTGGCTGTGTGTCGGTGTGCAGTAGCGTGTGCGTCTGCGTGTATGTGTATTCTGACCACAGCTCTAATGACGGTTAATTGTTGCAGGGCACACAGCCGCACCCACCCACACCCAACACGCACCACACACCACACCGCACAAGTTGTTTGTGTTGCTTGTGCGCTTTGTGCTATGCAAATAGGCCAAGCTAAATTACAGTTCAACTGCCACTGAGCCGGCAATGCTTGTAAAACTGCATGTGCAAAAGTGTTGGCTAGTACATCCATAAATTCCATATGTTCCCAGGGGCAGCCATCTATATACATATATGCACATATATGCATGTGCAAACACTTAGTTTGCATTTTTAAAATCTATTAGCGTTTGCTTGTTGAAATAATTGTAAAGTGCATTTCAAAAAATAACACAAAATGTATGCAATTTAAAATGAGAGTAAAAAGCCTAGCCACAACATTTTTTTGTTCCTCGCTCTCTCATATTTATACGAGTACATGTTAATTTGTTGAGCAAAAAAAGCAACAGTACAAGGGGTAAAAAATCAGCTTGAAAAATTTGCTTAAATAAAATAAATGAAAACTATGAGGAAATGCATAAGTAAAATATGCGACGGCTCCGGGCGCAGCACGCTTGCAATTATTTGCATAAAAATATGTAAATCGCTAGCTGCTAAAGTGTAATTCACCCAATTCTCAATTTGCTTTTGCTTCCCCTTCCCTTCCCCCGGCTCGGCTTCGCAAACAAACGCGTTCGCATGAAGCTTTTTTTGCGCCCGAATCACATTTCAACATTTTTGTGGCAAGTGAAAACAAATGCAAGATTTGTGCAAACAAAGTCTGGGCCATAATAAGTTTTCATGCGCTTTGGCGCCCGCCCTCCCTCCACCGCCACAACAAATGTTAATTGCAATAATATGCTGCAAAAACTATTTTATCATATTTCAACTACAAGCTGCAATTCAACTGTTTATTTTATAAAAAAAAATCTTCAACAATAACTATATTGTTGGACAATGGAATTCAACATACCCAAATAGTTGATCCAATAACAATATATAGTAGAGAGCTAGGTGGGAATAGTGTGGAGATGAGAAACACATTCATTGCTATTACTTGTATTTTCTTTCTGTAAAAAGTTAAAATATTAGCAGGAAAAATACAATCGCTGTGAGGTAGATAGCAAGATAGGGAAGACTGGTAGAGTAGTTATACAAATTAAAACTAAGCGATGTGCGCAAGCAAATAAAACATCCTCCCGCGTACCCTTCCATTCGTCCTGCAGACCACACTCAGCTCAATGGCGCAGCGGTCGTTGTGCAGCATCCACTCGACCATTTGCTCCATTTAGTTGCAGTGTAATAGAGACACAAGCACAAACACAAATGCACACACCCATTCATACACGCTATTGATCTGCAGTCTAAACTGCGAGCTTAGTTTTATTTGTTCAGTGCTGCTAAAACTGTAAGCGACCGCAATGCAACTGCGAATACTTGTACAACGTTCGCTACATTTTAGTTTCATTTTACTCTCAAACATTTATATTTTTAAACAGCGCTATACAGTGAGAATTACTCGAAAGGAACTCTAATATACATGGCTGATTCAGTTAATGGACTCCAATTAATTTGATTGCTAAAGTCCAAAAATGTCTGGATTCTTTAAAACATAGATCAATCAAAAGAATTGCATGCATTGTATATGAAGTGTTAGATGGACAAATTGGCAACTTGTGCTGATACTTGTGATTTCTTTAAGCCCTCATATTTGTTTCGTTTATTCGATGAATGGATATGAATCGATATTAAGCTGCATTATTTAATTACATCTTGCGAGCTGCTCCAAAAATGTATTTAATTGATGTTTGAAGAACCAAAGAAATGAAAATAAAATAGCTTATGAATAAAGTGGAAAACTTAAAGGTAAAGGTAAAAAACCATTACCATTTCCTTCTCCTGGAGAATATTGTTCCTCAATGTACATTTATTTTCCAAGGCACTTTCCATACGATCAATAAGGAGAAATAGTTTTCTATCCGCTAATAGAAACCAGTCGTAAGCAAATTCAATCAATTCAGCTTATGATTGATTATTGTACGTTACTTAGTTTTGTTTAAGCAATGACCACAGTGCCTGTGTATTATTCATGCTCTGCTGTATATGTATGAATGTACTCGTATATATGCAATTTCTACAAATTTACAATATTTTTGTATTGATTTGAATACATAGCGCAGTGCTCGCCGTCCGGTTGCCAATCGTCGTTTTGTGCACCAGTTAATAAAATAAATCAGTACAGGCAAGGCCCGCAGCAAATATTGCACAAAAAAGTTTTGATGGTGCTGTTTCATTTTGTTTTGTTTACTTTGTATCCTGCGCTTTAATTAAATGTGTGCGCTATAAATGAAATTGCACGAAAAGGCTTTGCAATAAAGCCGTATTGAAACTCGTTGTTAAATATTTCAGTTATTTTTAAAAGTTGTACAAATTGCCCAATGATGAGAACATCTAGTTAACGTGCATTTTAAAACGCGTTCATTCAATTTAAATATCCACTTGGCCATCCATTTGAATGATTGAAAATTATTTAATGTAAATTGGTTCATAAATTGTGTTCAAAAACTGATACAGTTACTGATTTTGGTTAACGTAAACCCAAACCAACCAAACATGCAAATAAAAATGGTTAACAAGCAGCGAAAAAATGTTGAAAGTCTTAATTCACTGCACACTAGTTTAATTATAAAATACAAGGATTCATAACCCAAATGACTTCAGGTACTTGTATATTGAAATTTTTCACATTACACCTGCTGACCTACAAATTCGATCATATATTATGCACGTAATCGTTTTTGTTGTAAATTTCGAAATTTAGCTAATATGAGATGATCGCATTGTAGTTATGAAACATTTCACCAATTTCGTATGCTATTTTTAATCACAATTGTGGAATTTAACGCTAATAATTATAGAGCCGTGCCCGCATGTCTTGAATAGAACTTCCAAAATGAAAATTTGGGACTTATACGACTTGCAAAACGTAAATTTTTTAATAATATGAAGCTGCTTTACTTTGTCTATCCTTCTTGATAAGGTCGGAGCGCTGGGAAAGTAAAAAATTGTGTATTCGAGCAAAGCTGATCTACATATTCGCATGAAATATACCAATATGGCTTCGGAATATGTATGCGGGCGAACGAATTCACTTTACTAACCTATCCTAACCCAACATACTATAATATGTAGCTCGATAGCTAACAATTTTCTAGTGATCCCTAATATGTCGTGAAACGGCGAACCCTCTTCAACTAGAAGTAAAATCCTTTGTCCTTAAAAAGGTTTCATTAAGAAAAGCGCCAACACTATATGGAGAAGTCGGTTTAAAAAAGAGCCGATTCTTTAACAATAAAATCGATAAGTACATTTCTGGAATAGAAACACAAGACGCACAAATTTAAGCCAAGGGGACCTCGGCTGATAAAAACGTTTCCGACTTTGGAACACTCCTAATAAATTCACTGGTTTTCTTTGTTCAAATTTGGGCAACTGACCCTTTCAATATTTTGTACAAAATAAGCTAAATAGATTTAGATTTTACTTGCTAAAACCCTGAAAAATGTCAGAAGTTTTGACTTTCAGAACATAGAACGACCAATAGTCCTATACATTTCAAAGTAATCCCATCTCTATTTACTTTACCTTTGTTGAACAAACTTGAAACAGCCTTTTATGTATTTTTTAAAAGGATGCAACTATTTTCTTTAATTTTAGGCATGCGATAAAGTGAAAGACGAAAACCTTTCTTTAAGAAGAATTTAATGGCAATAAAAGGCGCATTTATTTTTAAAGAAATTTTTAAATTTATATATTTAAGATAGAGTTTTGTCGCTTCATTGTCGCTAACACTTTCGTTTCCCCACTCGTCTACTTGCAGCTCCCTTCGGACTATGCTTGATGATGCTGCTGCTAGTTTTCTGCAGTGCAGTAGATGCCAGCGACTCGTTGGACACACGTGAAGGCGTCGATCTCGTGCTCAAGTGCCGTTTCACCGAGCATTATGACTCAAATGATTTCACCTTCTATTGGGCGCGTTGGACCTGCTGCCCCACATTGTTCGAGAACGTGGCCATCGGCGATGTGCAGCTCAACTCGAATTATCGGTAAGTGCAATGGGTTGATAAATCACACAATCAGGTTGAAAACAACACCAACAGCAGCAGCAGCAGCAACAACACCAACAACAACAACAGCAATGACATAAATTCAGCTGACTGCTCTTGCAAATTGCGCTCGGGGCTGTCAATAAGAGAAAGTTATCGTTGTTAATGTTTTTGCTGTTGTTTGCACTGTATGCTATGGCAGCGCACATTTATTTAATTGCCTGGCTGACACTCATCGCTCGTCGATTGGCCGCCGTTTATTGATAAAAGATTAAAGATGCGTTCGTTGCCTTGCGTTGCTCTCTGCTGCGTCGTGCCGCGCTGCGCTGCGATGCGTTCAGCTGTTAAATTTATTAAAATTGCCAACGACTCGACGTCGTCGTTGCCGTCGCCATCTCGTGTACATCATTAAATGTTCATCTGGCGGGCCAACGATAATTCATGGGCACGCCCAGGGGCGGTAATGTAAACAGCAATGGCAACAACAAGATGGAGAACGTGGCCATCAGACGCAGCTGTTGCTACTTCTATAGCGATTGCTGCTGCTGCCACTCACAGTTCAAAGAGAAATTATTGTTATGCCTGTTATGGTGCTGGTGCTTCGCAGCAACTGGCAACACATTGCGTATACGCAACATTATATTGAGGCGTTCGACTAGGCGAAGTAGGAGGCATAAGGAAAGTGGTGAGTGGTGAGTGGTGGCGGAGGGAGCACGCTTTAAACGCAAATGTTTCGCTTGCCAGTCAGCCTGCGTCGCCTGCCATTTATTTATTAATCATAATAATCATTTTGTAGCGTATTTTAAGCGTGAAAAACATTCAATGCGGCGTATGCCGCAAATCGTTTGGAAAATTTCAAGCGCCATACAAACACTCCCACACACACACATACATATATATAGACAGACAAATGGCTACACAGATGAGAGCAGCACAATAAATAAATGACGCAAATATACGGGCGCAAAATGTGTTGGTCGCAACAACAACAACAACAGAAAACTACAACAACAATAGTGAGGCAGTGAAAATAAAACAAAAAATAAATATCTATTATAAAATTTGTTAATCGCGCGTTAAACAATTTGCATGATTTATATGACAAAAAAGCGTAACTAATGGATAGTGGGAGTGGCACTGTGGTGTAAGCCTTGGACTCCATAAAAAATGGTTGAAAAATGTTGAGAATATAACGCAGGATTTAAACATCTTTAAGCGTAAAATAGTAAATAATTTGAAAAGAAAACGAAATTCTAGCAAATATTTAAGTAATATGCACACTAAATACACAAGAGATAGATGTCCAAACTAAAATACTCTGGTGTGTTTAAAAAAACCCTTTAAAATGCTGTCAATTTATTAATGTAACTGTTAAGGGATCCTCAATCAAGCACCATTCAAAGTAATTAGAGTCGTAAGGAAGCCCATTAAAACTATGCACTTTTTTAATATGCAGCAGTAATTATACATATAAATTATACTTAGAAATATAAAGCATTATATAGCAATTATTTATATACAGCACATATAATATCAAATTAGTAAATTATCTTATAGACGATTAGAGAAACATAACAAGTTTACAAAATCATAAAAACAGGTAACAGTAAACGAAAAAGCTAATTATACGTTGCTTAAAAGACAACATAAGGAAGCCAAAGGAAGCTGCAGAGTGACTCAACAAAAGTCTCTGCAATAAAATTACTTTAAGAAAAATCCAAAAGCAAATGGCAGCAGCTATTGAAATATTGACGGCCATGCATTAAAATGATCAAGATTCACTGCCCCATAAATATTTTAAGCAGAAGTATAAGGCAGAAGTGGGCCATGACTGATTGCTCCACATATATAGTATAGTGTACTCTAAAATTTGAGGAGAATCCTTATTGGCTACAAAGGCTTTCATATAAATTTGAAAATCAAAAGCAAAAACAAAATGGCGCCAGCCGCGCATAACTAGAATATGTATATATGCGTATTTACTTATAAAAAGAGACATGAGGACACATTTTCAATTTCTGTAGCATACATTTAGGCAACAACAACGCAAATGGCATATGAAACGTCGCTGCAAAAGTAGGAGCAACGGGAAAAGCAGGAGGCAGCAACGGCAGGGACATCGGCAGAAGCTGCAAAAAGATGAATTGTTTTTTAAATGAATTCAATAAAGCATGGCCGGTGCGGAATCCCGACGCACAACAACACAACAAATCATACAAACAAGAGGAGCAACAACAACAACTAGGCTTAAAGAAGACATTGAATGGGACACGGGAAAACGGTAGCTGTTTCAGGGGACTGGGTATGGGGCGTACTAACACACAAAGCTCTCACAAACGACACAGTCGGCGCGTTTCGACTTCAGCTTATTTGCATTTCAATTTGCATAAGTGAAGCGCTCTCACTGATAGATGTCTGTATGGCATTATGTGTACGTGTGCGAGTGCCTGTGTATGTCTGCTGTTACGCCTACGTCGCGTCAGGGGCGTAACAATGTCGGCACTACACATAAGGCGTGCCATCAAGTTCGGCAACACGTGCTGCCAGCTTTTTGATGTATTTGTGAGCGGGCCCACAAGGTAAAGGTTAAATGCTGACCCACATATCCATACACATACATACATAAGTGAGTAGTATGTGCTTTTGTATGCCCCTCGCGCGCCGGTCGCATAAATATGTAATGGCAGAACTACAACAGAAGTTGAAAAGCTTTTGGAGGCGACCATTGATAACAACAGACGTTTGCATAAATAGAAAAAATTATTGCGCGCATCCATCAAAAAGCAAGTGAACGGAAAAAAAAAATGGTGTCAGCTTGCCATGGCAGCAATGGCAGCAAGAGAAACAACAACACCAAAAATGACAACAACATCAATTTAGATCAAAAAGCTAAATTGTGCTGCCAGCAATTTCGCTAGTCTACGAAATGTTCAAGTTATTTGTATGCTGCTGCTATTTTTGCCCAAAATTTAAACTTCGCCGGTCGACCACAACAAAGGCCAGCCAAAGCCTCTCTAAGCCGCAAGCCCACATCTAAATGGCGCGCCATCAAATCAAAATTAAAAATCGATTGCAACATGAGTTTCATATTAAATTTCTCTTAACACAATTGAAAGTTCCGAGCGAGTATCTGACGGCATCCGCCACTTTGCTCAATAAAAATTACTTTTTTGTTGATTGTTTGTTGTGCCTCGCTTGTGTGTGTGTATATGTTTTCGTGTGTGTGTGTGTGTGTGTATGGGCGAAATGTTTGCGGCACTTAACACAAAATTCCAATATCATGCCACGAGCGTACAGTCAATACAGAAACAATGAAAATGGGCGGGCGGGAATGGCCTGTTTGCTGCAGTCCCTAAAAAAGAAAAAAAAAAAACAGCTAGCAGAGCAACATCAAGTCATTGAGACAACAAAATTTCAAGGATATTATTTCTAGTTGAAAAAAATAAAGCAAAATTACAAGAACGATGAAAACATTGGATGCTAGAGATTCCATGATGAATGATGGCGAGGCCAATGGCATGGCAATGTAATAACCAATAAGACCTATTTATTGAATAGGGCTTTGTAGCTTTTCTGTGATGCATGACATTATGCGAAACAAGATGATGTTGGGGATAATAGCGATACTGATGAGCTGTTAGGCAGCAATTTCAAATAGTGACCCATCCGGGCATTTAATAACCTCAAATTGATCACTTATGTAGTTGTTTCGTATACATATGTGCAGATAACTCAAATTGAAAATGAAATTTTGTATGAAATGAGAATGGTGTTTCAAAAAATTATGTAATGAATGAATTTTAGTTTTTGCTTCTGTGAAAGGAAGAGTGAGAGCTCAAGGAGATCAGCATTAGCTCTTATCCTTCTTCACTTTGTTTATAATAAAACATATATAAATATAAATATATATAAATATAAAACAACTTTTAATTAATGAAAGTTATTGTTAAAATTTATGAAAAAAAATCGTTTAAAAACACTTTCCACAAAATAAACTAAAATAGAGTTATTAAAAGAGCGAAGGTTTGCAAATCGATGTGCTCCAGCACGACAAGGCGAACAAATATTGCAAATGCCTAAGAAATGAATTTCTTACGTTTCAATTTATTTGCCAAAGCAGCATACACGTATCTCTTGAATTAGACAAAAGACAGGACAGAACAAACACACATCGAGATCAAATGGCCAAGTTAAATTTTATTTATTGATTCGTACAATTCTGCTGCGCTCAGTCACAATGGTGAAGTTAAAGGTTAAAAGCGAACACAATATTTGCATACACTTTACTTAAAAGTTGTGGTGGGCACTGAGAATAAGTTCACTTAACTAACTAAATGGAATCTAAATGGATTGTTAGCAAAGAAAACTGGTGTCTCTTTCTTTCATTATTGTTTAGTAGTTTGCATTTCGTTTGGATTGGAGTCTTTATCTTTCCTTGTTAGGGCACCAAAGCTTAATGCATTATTTGAAAATATTTATAACTACACATATACTATAAATAAAGTGCTTTGATTTATTATTTTTTAGAATCCACAAAGAACTTTTTAAAACTTCATAGTTATTATATCAGCTAAAACATTTCAAATCCAAAGCCAACTTGTTGGGGCATGTTGCCTTCTGCTATGGTGTGACTGCCACAGCTGTTGTTATTGTTATAGTGTGGTGGTTGTTGCTGTTGTTGTACGTAAATTAATTTCTGCCGCTTAGCTTAGTTTAAAGTTAGCTTAGAGCACACATTGCTTAATGCAAACACACGCACTGTAAGCCACAAACATGGCAACGTAGCCTAACCAGCTTGCTCGAAGTCCCAACCTGCCATGCAAATACATTAAACTCACACATACACATACACATTCACATACACGTACATAAACATATACACAACAATTCTAGTAACAACAAACGAGAGCACAGCATAACATTGAAGGCCCCTCCACCCGCTGACGCTCATGTGAGTTCATAAAGCTTTGCTTGCAGCCCACGATTTCGACTACGACGAC